TCAGTGCACATAAGGGGAGACGGAGTTCAGAACTCTGTGGGCAGACACAAGAGCGAGCGAGCGAGAAACTGGCAGCTTTGTTTTACAAGCTACAACTCTCCAGCCTGGAGACGGAAAGTCAGTCTGCCGCTTGGGTGTCCTGCCACAGCTCAGCGGGTCATTGTCATGCTCACGGCGGCTTCTGCCCTGGCTTCTTCTCACCATGACCTGCAAGGCGTCCAAGTGTAGAAGGAGGGTGCTTCAGAAGCTGGAGGAGGCACCGTCGCAAAGTTGCACTTGCTGAAGCTCACAATTTATGGTTTGTTAACATGAGCCGGCTGATCCAGAGAGCGCGTGAGCCTTGCTTTCTCCCTGCCCTCCACCGGTCTGACACAAGCACGTTCACAAATGGAGCAAGCAGACAGCCTTGAACAGACCAGAGGAAGCTGCCTCGCTCTGTGTCAGAACCTTGGTCTGCTTGGTTCAGTATCTTCTACACTGACTGCTCTCCAGGTTGGTTTTGGACCTAAAGCAGCTGGGGGTTGAACCTGCAACCTCCTACATGCAAGGAAGATGTTCTACTACTGAAGCTATGGCCCTTTCCTAAACAGGTAAGGGATCCTACCTGCATCCCTCCCCCCAAAAAACCTGAATTTAAATATGACCTTTAAAGAAGATGGATAAAGAAAAGGGATCCTTTGCCTGTTCAATCTTTTAATACAGCAGAAACTGAAGGCAAACAGCCCCTGCCAGCATCCTTAACTATTCAATGATCTGTTCTATTGGTGCCCAATCCTACAAAGGTGAAAACAGGCATCTTTGTAAAAGTTTAAATCTCCATGCTACAGGGAGTTGAGGAGATCCACACAGGAACGTTACAGACCTGATATTTAATACCAAATATGGCCTTAAATATCATCTCACTTTTGTGACAGTAGCACTCCCCCCCCCCCCAATTAAAAAGTGTTTCCATATTCACAGCTGTGGGTAAGGTTTCCATGGTGCAAAAGCAGTAAGGTCTCTCAGTTTACCAGGAGCCTGGACTAGGAGTTAATATTCAGACTTTAAGGAACGTGGGTGGCGCTGTGGTCTAAACCACTGAGCCTCTTGTGCTTGCCAATCAGAAGGTCGGTGGTTCGAATCTCTGCAACGGGGTGAGCTCCCGTTGCTTGGTCCCAGCTCCTGCCCACCTAACAGTTCGCAAGCACATCAAAGTGCAAGTAGATAAATAGGTACCGCTCCGACGGGAAGGTAAATGGTGTTTCCGTGCGCTGCTCTGGTTTCGGTGTTCTGTTGTGCCAGAAGCGGCTTAGTCATGCTGGCCACATGACCCAGAAAAACTGTCTGCAGACAAATGCCGGCTCCCTTGGCCTGTAAAGCGTGATGAGCTCTGAAACCCCAGAGTCTGCGACTGGACTTAACGTTCAGGGGTCTTTTACCTTTACCTATTCAGTCTTTATTCTGATTTCTGCAGCTGACTTGGAACAGGAACAGGTGAATGACTGTTGGATCTATAGCTGGTTGAACAACAATACCCAAATTTTGCTTATCAATATATCCACATGGAAGAAGTTTTTTGAATGGTGGCTTGAGGGCTTTGTCCTAGGCCTTGTGCAATTGGATATCTTGATTGATGATGTAGATAAGGGTGAAGAGGGATGCTTATCAGATTTGCACATAAGATGAAACTGTGATGATACCTAGCACTATGAAAGGTTCATACCCTCCAACCTTTCTCTGATGAAAATAGGGATGTCCCATTCCATAATGATAATTTTACTGTTTATACCCCACACATCTTACTGGGTTGCCCCAGCTTCTCTGGGCAGCTTCCAACATACATAAAAACATAATAAAACATTAAACAATGAAAAAAACTTCCCTATACAGGATTGCCTTCAGACAGCTTAGGGGCCGGATAACTCCATACCCTTCAACATTTCTCCAATGAAAATAGGAACATTCTAAGGAAAAGCAGGACACTGTGGGATCAAATCAGAAACTGGGACGCCTTCCTCAAATCAGGGATGTCCCTGGAAAATAGGGACACCTGGGAGGGGGGGTCTGAAGGTTGACTCAATATTTAAACCAATCTTAGGAGGATAGAACATTGGACCAGAACCAATAAGATGAAATTCAATAGAAATAAATGTAAAGGCCTGCATTTACTGCAGCCCACCAGTGAAACCTTGCCTGGCAGCAGTACATGTGAAAAAGATCTCAGTATCTTAGATGACCACAAGCTACACATGAACTAGTGGTGGGATGTAGCTGCCAAAAAAGTTAATGGAGCCTCAGGCTTCGTTAACAGAAGTGTAGGCCCCATCCACACTGTGTATTTAAAGCTGTATCATACCACTTTAATCAGCCATGGTTTTCTCCAAAGAATCCGAGGCATGTAGTTTCATAAAACCATAGAATTGTAGAGTTGGGACTCAGCTAGCCCGGTAAAGGAAAAGCGATTTATATGCGTTGTATATGCGATATAACATTGTGCTGCCAGATGGTGATGTGGAGTCCCATTTTTCTCTACCTGTTTTCCCTGTTTAAATTTACAAAGCTTTAAACCGAAAAGCTTTTTTGATCCAGCCTTGGAAGGGATCCTGAGGATCATCTGGTCCAACCCTCTGCAATGAAGGAGTTTGTTAGGGGTGCTTAGAGTTGAGGGAGACCTCACTTCCCCTCACAGAGCTACGCTTCTCAAAGTTTCCAGAGAAGAGGATTGATGGTTAAGCCATGTGGGAAACTGTGGCACCGTGAGGGGGATAGGGGTCTCCTAACAATTCTCAGTACGCTTAACAAACCACAGTTCAAATTACAAACAAGGCTGGGGAGCAGAAGTTGAAGGTTTCGCTTCAGCACACAGACCAAGGTCTAAGCTTGGCTGAAAAGCTTATCTACCAAGCGTCAAAAGGGACCAATGGGGAGCCATGGACCGGGCCAATCAGGAAGGTGTATATGAGCTGACAAAACCCTCTTCTGGTCAAGACATGCAATTGTAGAGGACCACATTGGTTAGTATTTAGGTTCTGGGGAGAAGCAAGACCAACCCATGGCTAGCACAACTGCCCCACAGGGCCATTACTGGAGCCACAAACTCCTTGGTAGTTATCCCCATTGGAAGCACATGCTGTGAAAAAACTGAACATGGAAAGACATTGGCCCTCCTATAGACAGTTGATAACAGAAGACCAAGGCCACTTAAAGTTAAAATCATTTGGGGAGCTAAGGCAACCTGTATCTGATCGGCTCCAATACCATCAGTTGAATACTGTCTTTAAATCAGATATCAAAAGAAGTTTTGGTAAAGAAAATTCAAAATTCCAATTGATATTATTAAAAAATAACAAGAAACTTCTATCAGAAATGTATGATTTCCCATTGGAGTGACACCTGAAGGATGAACTTGTAAAGGAGGTGCAGATAGCCCCAATACATCGGCAGGACTATCTATTTAGAACAGTGGGAGAGGCTATGGCAAGTAGATATTCACTTTGCAACCTGTTACTCTATTAAAGAAAACTTTATAAAAATGTTCTTTAGGTGATACATGACACCAACCAAACTCGCAAAAATTTACAAACTAAAGTCTAACTTACATTGGAAATGCGGAAAAGCTGAAGGAACAATGATCCACACTTGGTGAGTTAAAAAAATGCTCAGGACTTCCATAGAAAAAGAAACCAGAGGCATATCTACTGGGAGTGATATCTCACAGAATAGGGAGTGATATCTCACAGAACAAGAAAAGAATTTTTTATATGCCACAGCAGCAGCTAGAATAGTTCTAGCCAGCAAACGGAAAAGCGAGGCAATGCCCTCTAAAGAAGAATGGATTTATAAGCTAAGTGAATACATAGAGTTGGCAAAACTAACAGCAGCCATAAGACCCCAAACAAATCAAAATTTAAAACTAGAATGGAATTATTTTGAAGAATACTTAAAAAAATACTATTCTAAAAATATATATGCTAATATGCATAGATTAAATATGTAAAGTAGATGTGAGAATATGAATATATGCCTAGTTGTTGTTGTTTAGTCGTTTAGTCGTGTCCGACTCTTCATGACACCATGGACCAGAGCACGCCAGGCACTCCTGTCTTCCACTGCCTCCCACAGTTTGGTCAGACTCATGTTTGTAACTTCGAGAACACTGTCCAACCATCTGGTCCTCTGTCGTCCTCTTCTCCTTGTGCCCTCCATCTTTCCCAGCATCAGGGTCTTTTCCAGGGAGTCTTCTCTTCTCATGAGGTGGCCAAAGTGGCCAAAGTATTGGAGTCTCAGCTTCAGGATCTGTCCTTCCAGTGAGCACTCAGGGCTGATTTCCTTAAGAATGGAGAGGTTTGATCTTCTTGCAGTCCATGGGACTCTCAAGAGTCTCCTCCAGCACCATAATTCAAAAGCGTCAATTCTTTGGCGATCAGCCTTCTTGATGGTCCAGCTCTCACTTCCATACATCACTACTGGGAAAACCATGGCTTTAACTATACAGACCTTTGTTGGTAAGGTGATGTCTCTGCTTTTTGCTAGTAAGTATATGCCTAGTAAGTATAGATTAAGTAAGTAAGTAGGTAAAGCAAAGATGAAAATGAAATCAGGAATGGTTGTAAGAGATGAAGATTCTTAGAAATGCAATGAAATAATCAAATTAAAATTTAAGGAAGTCGAGCTGTGGTGGAGGGAGGTCACAGGGGTGGGTAAGGTGTCTTGTTTGAGTTTGTAGGGACTATATGTATTCTGTGTATATTTGTGTTATTTTGTTTTGAGGTGTATTTGTGTTATTTGTATATATTATTTTTCTCTCAATAAAATTATTTAAAAATATTAAAAAAACAAAAACCAATTTTTTTAAAAAAACCCACAAAAATTTAAAAAAAACAAAAACCAACTGCCCCACAGGGAGCAAAAAAAGAGGAGAGAGTGTTTTTGTGAAATGCAACCAATAAGTTTCTCTAGATTTAATAATGCTACTAACCTGCTAGATTTGTATACAGTGACCTCTCCATTGCAGCTTCTCTGTCCCTCAGTACAAATGATGTTATTTTACTTTATTGCTACATTTATATCTCACATATCACGTGGTTCTTCCCCTCCTTCCCATATCACCAAAGTCTTGGCTGAGTGGGGATTTCAACCGTCATCTCCCAGGTCTTAGTCCAACACTCTAACCACTACACCACATGGAGGATTCTTTGAAACCTCTTCTGAAGCAGCAATGGACTGGATATATGTATGCACATGTGGCTGTGGAAAGTCAATACAATCTATATTTTTGTGCATGGATATTTACATACCCATCCCTTGGTTGCAACCATTCTGTGATGTTAATAGTATTTGGCGCTCTTGTTACAACCAGTAGCATTTGGCTGACTGGGATGCCGAGAGGATAATGGTGATGATAAATGTTCATAAATATTCTTATCAGGGAAGTATAAAATGATTGCCATAGGAAATGCCAGATCTACCAATGCACCCAATGCAGATGGGGGGGGGGGAGGTGTGAGACAGAAACTTTTCTTCTCCCCCTTTTGCCCCTTCCATTGAGCTGTGTGGGAGGGAATGAACTACATCAGTTCCAAGGCTGAGCCCCACTTTTTTTTGGTCAAGGTCTCCCCACCACACCTCCAGAATACTCTGTTTTAACCCCATTGCCAGACAGTCACCATTGGCGATACATCATAGGAAGCTGTCTTCAATTGAGTCAGGCCCATTGCTCCATCTAGCTCCAGGATTTCAGACATGGGACAATTCCCAGCCCAACCTGGAGATATGAGGGATTGAACCTGGGATCTTCTGCATGCAAGACAGATGACATACCACTCACCCACGGCCTACATGAATGCCCATGAGACATTCCAGTGGGGGAACACCAGGCGTTGAAGCTCCAGTTAGTGTATGTGCTGTTCTACTGATGGGCGTTCCTCTCCAGCCACTTAACACCAATTCCAACAATCCTTTACAACTGGATTTCTCCCTAACCATCCAGTCTATGTTTATTCAGGAGTTAGCCTCATTAAACCCATTGGGACTTATCTATGACTTATCGCGGCTAAGGGCTCACCCACACTTTCACTTGAACCATGCCTAGAAAGCGCAAGTTTGAGGGCTTTCCCACTTGTCTCCTCATGTCCGAGTGGTTTTTCGTATGTCCCACCAATTTCCCTGGGAAAACATTTGTTCTGATTCAGTGGCGGGACGAGTGGAAGTGTGGTTGGGTATTACACTGGTAGAAAGACTGCTTCCAACTAACCATTGGTTCGTTTGCCAACACTATGCAAATAATTCAAGAATATCTTATGTTTTCTGATGGCACATAGTTTTTGTGTCATCTAGTTGACCCTGGGAAGCAGATCAAAATTAACAGACAGCAGCATCAGCCTTTGAAGCCTTGACAAAGGGAAGTAATCAAGATATTCCAGAAGTTGTCATCTCGACAAAGGGTGAAACATCCATGGGTGAAGAAGATCTGTAACTATGGGCATCATGAGAAGCAATCTGGGATCTTTCCTGGCATAATACTTAATGGCCATGCATTGCCTAGTAATACCAAACAGAACAGAGCCACAATAGTTTCTAGCAAGAATGATCTGTGCTATGTTTTGCTCCCAACCCTCCCCTAGTTCTGTGTTCCCATGACACATGTGGGTAGTGCATACCAATGTCAGGGAAATAAATGTAATTCTGATTTATGGGTGTTGTGTATTTTTATCCTTTCCCTTTCCTCTGTTACTCCCTAAGGCCTGACATATTCCCTGCTCTCTGAGAGCAAATACCCAAGTGAGATGGATGTGGCGAGTGCACAGATAACAAGGAGGCAGTTGCCCTGGCAACAGAAGTCCATGAAAACATTCTGAGCATCTTCTGCCTACTGCTCACTGTCCTTTGCACAGTGGCTGAAACAAGAAACAGATGTTAAATCTCAGCCCTGGGTTTTTTTGGAAGCTGCAATTCATGAGCAAGTAGCAGAGATAGCCCATATGTTTGCACACTAATTATCTCTTGCTCCCTACGTACAACACTGGGTGCAATGGCCAAGTAGGGATAGCCACTTAACTCTCTTCCTTGAGCCGTGATAGCAAGGCTTGCACAGCACTGTGCTTCCATGGAGGGTTTTGAAAACAGTCACAACATGCCTGAAAAACCAGTTCCTAGAAATGTAGCAAGGAAATTCTGTAATTAAAGAAGATGGCTCAAAAGGTCTTGGGCCATTCCTTGGAGGTGCTATGAAGATAGGCATGCCTGGAGGCAAGGGGTGGGAGCACTGACCACCAGCTTTTCATGATGTTGCAGTGGGTGGCTATGGACTGCATAGTTGTGCCGATCCGCCCCGCTGAATCATGGTGATTTCATCCCACATCAGCTGATGCTTTGATGACATCCAGATGTCTGCTTCACATGCAGAGAGCCAGAAAGCTTCCACTGATCTTGGAACTGGTACTTGGTTACTCCAGAGGGCAGGGCTAGAACCTATGGATGGAAATTCTAGGGAAGCACATTTCAGCTAAACAAGTGAGGTCCTAAGAGCTGTTGGACAGTGGGACAGACTGCCTGGGGAGGTGGCTGGCTCCTCCTTCGCTGGAGGCATTTAAGCAGGGGCTAGATGGGCATCTTTCAGAGATGCTGTAGCCACATCCTGCATCTCAGGTCCTTAACTGAGCAAGGGAGTTGCGTTAGAGGCCCTCCAAAGTCCCATCTGAAAGTCTATGGATCTACAAAAGGCAGTAGCAGCAGAGGCTGGTCTATTAGGATGAAGGTGTTGAGATGTGTCCAAGGAAACAGTGGCAATTTGCAGGCCCCCAGCTGGCTCCAGCCCACCGGCCGGCAGCCGGGTGATCTCCGGTCCTTGGCATAGCATGAAACAGTGACCCACAGCTTCAGAACTCTTCAGAAGCTGGAGCATGCTCTAATCAGCAGAGTAATTAACTCTTCGCAACAGAAGGGCAGATGGAGGCATATGTAAAGCAGTTTATTCAGGACAAAGGGAAAACATGACTTCTCCCTTTCATGTCCAAGCAAGCAGCATAAGCAAAAGCTATACACAAAATGGAAGTTCCCGGAAAGCTGTGCTGGACTGTGAACAGGCATGTGACACACAACAATCATGCCTGTTTTTTTTTAAGGTGGAACGGAATATCCTGACAGAAGGGGCACCACTCCACTAACTTCAACTTGACCTCAGCCAGTCCCGACTTGCCTGCCCATACTTGCAACCAGTCCAGAGGATGGAACTGCTTGTCAGCTTCCTCCCTTCAGTCTCAGGGCTTATGTACACTTCCTCCTTTCCTGCTGCTTCCCCCCGGGGAAAACCTCTCTTTAGCACTTAAACGGAGCAAACAGTAGTTTGGGTTTTCACGAGCCCTGCTTCACACTCTCTGTGCTTATTTCAGCTGGAATGTGTCCTTGACTTCTGATAATGTCTCTCGCTTCTCTGGATGGAGGCTAGAGAGTGGTGTGGGTGGAGAAACTACCCTGAAATATAAAAAAGGTGAATTTTACATTCGTCACTCCTCGCTTTTGCCTCTAGCCCTGCCCAACATTGGTATTTGGAAGGTTGTTCAGAAGGGAATGTAGCCTTCAGTCTGAAATTGTTCCCCATCCCTGTAACAGCAGAACCAAAACAACGGTCATGCCAGAAGGGGTGGAGTTTTGAACCAACACGGAACGAGAATGAGCTGTAAGTATTATTCAAAATACTTCAAAAGCCACACATTCTGCAGCAATGGACTGGAGCGTCCCTTCTGGAGGTCAAGGCTCATCACCAAATTGCAGAAGGAGATGAAAAAGGCTCCAGTCACATCCAGTGTCAGTTGGGGAATGGGTTAAGCTTGGATTTTGCAGAGGCTTTGGCTGTGGGAGCTACTGTGCGTGGAATTGAAACGGCAGAGTTGTTTAGTGGGCAGATATAAGCTCATCCTCCTGAACGAGATTCTCAGGAAACCTTCTGCGGAAACGAATGAAATTGCTTCATATTTTTTTTTATCAGTGCTTGACCAGAGTGAACCGGCAGGCCATAGCTTTAGGCATTTCAGTTAATCTGGTCCCCTCCTCCTCTTCCCCATATCTAACTGAGCCAAGACAAGTCCATAGCCAGAAATCTGGTTGGAAGCCAGCTTTTACAGTAAGTAACGGCCGTGCAGTGGAATGACACAATTTGGCTGAAACAAGGCAATAATGGGAGAATCCAAAATACATTGAGGTGACCTTGCCTGAGAGTTTGATGGAGCGTCAGCAAAAGACATGCAGAGAGAGAAGAGGGTACAAATTCTAAGACTCAAAAAAAGCAGAATTGGGCAGGGGAAAATGTACAATTGTTGTACAATGTTGTGAGCCCGAAAGACCTTTTCTGATACATCTCCAGATCTGTGCTTTGACTCCATGTGGAGGGGCTGTGCTCAGTAGGAGAACACATGCTGTGCATGCAGAAGGTCCTGGTCTCAGTCATCAACATCTACAGGCAGGGATTGGAAAGACTCCAAGAGCTGCTGTTGGTCAGTACAGACTAGGGTGGAGGAACCTTTATTGGAAAATGATGCTCTGGTTAAAATATAACATTCCATGTTTGCTAGGTGAGCACAGGGTTAAACACACAGAGTTCTCTGTAAATTCCTAGAGGACACTCTTTGAGGTCACATCCTCTGCTTGCACAAGTGGGAAGGGTAACTATAGGAACATAATCCTTATCACTTCCACCTCAGGAGCACTCTCTTTCTCGTGATACAGCCAAAGGCATAGGATGAAGGATTTGTGCATCCCTGAGCAGACGCCATCTTTGATCTAAACCATGTATTTTGTAATCTAGAAAAATATTTTGCCTGACTTATTTCACTGCTATTTCCTGCTTAAATTGAGTCTGCAACTATGTAAGTAAATATATATCCTTATAGCATAGACTTCTGTGTTGTTATTTTGTTTAAAGGGGAAGATCCTGTTCCTAGTTTCCATACATACTCATCCAACACTCTCTTCTCCATCCAGGCAAATAAGAAGGCATTGTCAGAATTCAAGGACATATTCCAGTCAGGCAAAAAGCTATCAATGAGAGTGTGAATCATGGCCAGCAGGGATGTGATCTGGGAAAAGTGCCAAAAGCCAGAGGCCTAGAGGGTCGCATGTCTCCCGTGAATGGGAGGTTTCACACCCATGCTCTATACATTGGTTTTCTACCACTTTAGCTGGACTGGCTTCCCCCAAAGAATCTGGGAAATTATAGTTAGTGGTGCCAGCCTAAAATGGCTTGTGGCACTCCTGAGGAAAAGCTGATTTCTTTTTCAAGGAGGTCTTCCCAGGCACAGTGCTGCTGAACTGAGACCTCTGCAGAGTTATGTGAGGACTGTTGTGTATATAAATAAAAATAAAATTTGATGATATGCAATGTTCAGACTCTTTATATTAAAAAAACCTTTACTTTCATAAACACATAACTTTGAAGAATATATTTGCAATCTCATGCTCAGGTTTCTCCCTTTTAACATTTAGGGATCTCCTCTGTCAGTCTCACTTCAGACAGATCACACTGACACACACTGTCCTTGACAGTATTCCGAGAAGTCTCTCGGCAGCCATTCTCCTCAAACACGCAGAGAGAGAGACATACAGGGAAAAAAGCAGTTAAAAATGACAGTTACTTGAATAACAGTCACAACAGAATGGAATGCCTCTCTCATGTGACTCACAGTCAGCCAATCATATGAGAGAGCTACTGCCAGAGGAAGAACCCCAGGCTAAAAATACACAGCAATTCAACATAAGCAAACATTCCTATTTTAGGGAAATAAACGATTATCCTTAACTAGTCTTTGGGCACATCTGCACTATGGTACCACTTTAAGCAGCCATGCCCTTCCCCAAAGAATCCTGGGAATTGCAATTTGTCAAAGGCGCTGAGAGTGGTTAGGAGGTCCCTCTCCCCACCCTATAGAGCTACAATTCTCAGAGGAGAATTGTTAGGAGACCCTTCTTTCCCAGGGAATGCTGGTAATCTTACCTTTATTAAGGGAAGAGTGGTCTCCTAACCACTCTCAGCACCCTAACAAGCTCCATGGCTGTTTAAAGCAGTGTAATACTGCTATCAATGTGTAGTGCAGATATGGACTTCAGTTCTGGTGCAGCAGAGAAGGATGCTTTCAAAGCCATACCCTGTGCAGGGGAAAAAAAAGCCCTTAGAGTCAGCAGCTGCTCTACTCTGCCAGAGCTGACTGAATCCAAACGGAAATGATGAACCTGTCATTTTGCCCATCTCCTTGAGAGCTCGGCAGTCTACAACCACGGCCTCCGCCAGCTCCTTCAGATAAACCGAGAGGCGAGCGAGTGTGCTTTGGCTGTGCTTGGGGGAAGGAATGCGTTGTAGCACTGCCAGTCTCCGTATTAAAGGTCATCTGGTATTTCCGTGAAGAATGCAGGGCTGGCCTACTGCCCTGGTTCTCTATCCTCGCCGCTTTTCCAGTTGGCCGCCTGCCTGCCCGGTTGCCATCCTACTCTGCAGACAGTGTTGTCCTTTTACCATGGTTCGCTCCATATGGCTTATCTAGGCATTACAGAGGAGGAGAGCCAGGATATTTTTTTTTAAAAAAAGGAACGATGTTTTGAAGGATCCATCTTTTGCCGTATTACAATGACTGGGGAAATGAAAGAGAAACTAGCGACAGGCTAGGCCTTTCCTTTTAAATGTAGTCTCACCCAGACATTCACAGACCCTCCAAGTGTCCCTATTTCCCAGGGACGTCCCTGATTTAGAGAAGCCATCCCAGTTACTGACTTGGTCCCAGAATGTTCTGCTTTTCCTTAGGACGTCCCTGTTTTCATTGGAGAAATGTTGGAGGGTATGGTGGGAAGTCCCTATTTTTATTGGAGAAAAGTTGGAGGTTATGGAATTATCTGACCCCCTGAGGCAATCCTGTATAGGTAAGTTTTTTAAAATGTTTAATGTTTTATCATGTTTTTATATAAGTTGGAAGCCTCCCAGAGTGGCTGGGGCAACCCAGTAAGAAGTGTGGGGTATAAATAGTAAAATTATCATTATGGAATGGGACCTCCCTATTTTCATCGGAGAAATGTTGGAGGGCATGCATTCACTAAATATATATGGATGTCTCTGAAGTTTGGTGACTGGTGCTTTTGACCCCTCCATCAGATGCTGGTGGCGAGATTTCAGGCACCTTCGCCTACTCATTGAGGATACAATTCTGTCATAAACAGTCTCATTGCAATCACTCAAGGTGAGATGCTCAGGTCCTCGTACTTGCTTAGGGCAGGAAGCTGTCTGCATTGATCATCCATGAGCTATTAGGTTGAAATGGGCCAATCTGTCGAGGTCAAAGTTACATTTGGTTCTCCACCCACTCCTGGCATGTGGTCCCTGGAAGTTGCCCAGAACAGAGTGTGATCCTCAAGCTTTAAAAGGATCCCTACCTTTGGTATAGACCCTACATGCGCATCTGGCACTCTGGGCACCTGCACGGGTCTCGCTAACTGCTGTGCACCATTATCAGCTGAGGCTGGACTATCCCATACCCTGCAAATGTCCTGGGAAAACTGGAACATCCAATTTTTTCATGTGAAAGCACAGTGGGCATTTCAATTTTTCATGTGAGAGCACAGTGCTCTCATGAGATTTCGCACAAAGATCTCGCCCCGGAAAAGCTATTTTTGGAGGGCCACAATCTTGCATGGCACCCCAAAACACCATGAGAGCATGTTCCCCCAAAAGCACATCTTTTGGGTTCTGTGATCTTGTGCTGGTCACATGACTCGTGCGGGATCAGAGGTGTGAAGACACACATCCTGGTTTGGAGACTCAACATGTTGGAGTGTATGCCATCCTTTCCTGATGGCTCAGAGGAAAAGGTTGAGTGGGTAAGGAGGAGAGCAGCTAACTTTGCCTGCTTGATGACTTGCTTGACTACCAGCCTCCAGAGTATGGTCCAGAAACCATTTTGTAATATGCTCAACCACTTACATAGTCTAGCCAAGCAAAATATCTCCAGGGGTGATTCATTAATGGATGTCATGATGACGTCCATTTTCTCTTTGACTAAAATTCACTGTGAGAGGGACCTGAGTTGGATTTACTTTGCATTTTTAGGCCACTCGATGGCAAAAATTTCAATAGCTGACAGCTGACCATCAAAACAATCCAACAGATTAATAAAACCATAAAATCCTCTCACCAGCATGGAATAAAAACCAGCAACAAAAGGTGAATCAGAACAGCACCAGCAAAGCCTCTTGCTTCAATAAACATCTATGGACTTAAAATATTTTTTAAAAAAATGATTAGGAGATTTACAGCAAGAGAAAGGAAAAGGTCTTTTCCTGGTGCCAACAAGGCCACAATGCGTGTGCCAGGCGAGCCTCTCTGGAAAGGACACTAGGGTGGCACTAGATTGGAGCCTTGGCACTGAGGGAGAGGGGTACAGCTCTGATCAAAATCTTCCAGAAGCCTATTAGTCATGGAAGGGAAAGCATGTGGTTGAGAGCTCCCTTGAGCTGTATGCCAAAAATACATTCCTATGGGCCCAGCATAGAGAATGCAAGCACACTTCCTCCCAGTGCTCCAAGTTATATACAGCCAGCATCTCAGTATGTGTCAGAGACTGTCCCCTGTGACAGCATGCCTTACAATACCCCTGTAAGGTAGGCCAGTGATATAATACCATCCTTATATTACAGATGGGGTGATAAGGCTGTGAGAAAAATGGCTTGCCCGTGCACTTCTAGTGAGATGCTGGAAGAAGTTAATTTTTATTAATTCCTATTGCATTTCCATCCTGCCTTCTTCCAAGGAGCTCAAAGTGGCTTATATGGTTCTCCCTTCTCCATGTTACCCTCACAACAACCCTGTGAGGTAGGCTAGGCTGAGAGAGGGTGGCTGGCCCAAGGTCACCCAGTGAGCTTCATGGCTGAGTGGGGATTCGAACCCTGCTCTCCCAGTTCCTAGCCCAACACTCTAACCATTATGCCATGCTGGTCTGAATTGCAGGCATCCCGGTGAACAGCTTGGATTGGGAGCCACAACTCTATCTCTTCTTCCTGCTTAACAGACTATAGTCTTGAGAAACAGTGACTAAATCTGCACAACTATGTTTTCATCAGTTCAGCCCTCAATCTAGCTGACTCTAGTTTTCCCTTGAGCTCTAAAGAGATCTCCTCGAAAATACGTTTTGCATCTCTGCCATGATAATGATAATAATAGCGCCAGCAGCAAAACTGCTGTCTGAGATCAGCTTCCAGTGAAATACACGGTTGCGATGTGCAAGATCAATGGACTTAGTGAGCCTTAAAGTCCGTGGCAGGTAGCAGGACAGCCATGACACCTGGCTACCCAAGTTTGTCTCCACTGGCCCATTGGGTGTGAGAGAAATGACTCAACGGCACCGAGAGTGGCTCACATCTCTTGATTAATTGCTCTCAGCACCTGCACCTGCATAGCGGGAAAATGTGAGATGCATTTAAAGAGGTTCCATGTGAGCAAAATGATACTGGCAGCCTTTAGCAAGATGCTGGAGATAGATAGAGACAGACAGAGACCATTCCAATAGGGGGCAAAAGGGGGAAAGTCGCATAAGTGAGACACACACTATGCCAGTATACTTTTTTTAAAAAAATCTACATGATTCTCTTGTCCTTCCCTAAGGCACTTGAGGCAGTGAACCAGCTTCTCCTTAAGAGATTCAGGTGGCCTCCGTGGCATGGAGTGGCCTTCCATCAGCTTTGGCAGGAGGCTGGACAGCTGGACATGGGTAGCTTAACTACTGTTGTCTATGCTCTGGTAACCTCTATTGCAATGCATTATATGTAGGGCTGCCTCTGAGGAAGAAGGTCTGTAAACTGGTGAGAATTTGGAGTTAGGTTGTTCCCTGGGGGCAAGCTGGTTTGAGCATATTGCCCCGATTCAAAGTGCTGGTTTTGACCCATTAAGGCTTAAATGGCCCAGGACCACAATAGCTCAAAGACCGCCTCTCCCCATATGAACTAACCTGGACCCTGCAAACATCCTCTGAGGCTCTTTTTCACGTGTCTCCTCAAGATTGCAAATATTTCGACAATCCCAAAGTTTGAGAATCAGTAGCACAGACATTGTAAAGGTGTGGTGATCTGTCGTGGAACAACCCCATTGAAGAAGATCACAGTGGTTAGCCAGACCTCGTTGCTGCTTGCGAAGGGGCCCCCATGATGGTTCAAGCTTGTAGGTTCACCACTGCCTGTCCTCTGTAATACATGCCCTCCTGCCATTCAGAAGGCACAGCCCATAGTGCAGGCATAGCTAATGTGATGCCTTCTAGTCTAAATGTTGTTGGACTATGACTCTCAACATTCTTGACCACCATCCATGCTGGCTGGGGTTGATGGGAGTTGTAGTCCAAC